TTGTAGGCCATCCCTGAAAAAACTTGTAAAATGAAATACAACAAATAATATCGGGCAGAGCTGCAGATCGGGTAGTCACAGGCAATGTGGCTGAGTTTTGTGCGCATTGAGGCAGCCCTGTCGCTGCAAATGCTTTGGCAAATCCCCCAGTTTAAACCCTGTTCTGTCAGCTGTGGTCTTGTAAATTTCCTCTCCGGTTGCATTTGTGTGTAATTCTTTGCAAAAAAAAAAAGTTCTCAATGGATTCTCCGTCAACATATCTCACGTTGGCAATGAGTTGACAGTGGCCACTTATGTCTGTTGAATCATCAACTTGCAGAGCAAATTTGCCAATTCGCTGTATTTTTTCAGTTAGGACAGTTTCTATATCTACTGACATGTCATCGATGCAACGTTTTATTGTATTGTTGGATAATGGTATTTTATCGATAGTGTGGGCCTTTTTTGCCATTGCGATTAACTCAGCAACCACAGTGTTTCCCCTAGGTTTACTGCCTTGGCAGGGTGCTGCCTGGGTACCCCCCCCGGGGGGGCCGCCCCAAATTTTTGTTATCCTCTGGAGCAGAGAGAGGAGCTGTGGATTATTGTTATTGATATCGTACAGTAACAAAGTATTACATTAAAAAGTAATAAAGTACAGTGTTACACTGTACTTTATTACTTTTATTCAAACTGTATTCCCTTCTTATCATGTAGCCTACACTTCTTCCTTTCATTGATACATTTAAATCACCTGACTACAGCATATAACATACCTGCTGCAACCCTATTGAAACCCAAGAAAATCAGATGACAAGTAAAATGATTTATTGTTTGTGTATTTATGGCCGTCATGCACTGGTGTTATTATTTGTGGATTCTCTGTTGAGACACTGCTGACACCTTTATCTGTCAAATAGAAACATTTGAATGTTCTAATCCATCATTTCCTCTCTCACCCTCGTTTTCAGCTATCCCACCGTGCCCCTGGTGGCCCCTTCCCCCGTCCTCAGGCAAAGCCCCCCCCAAACCCTTTGCCCTGTAGGGATCAACCCCTTCACCCCCTACTTTCCCTCCTCTTCCTCCCTCCCACCCATCCTCCCTGTACTCCAACAGTCTTCCGCTGCAGTGAGAGTTCTCGACCATCTCTGCCAAGCTGTCGGACATGTCAGGACCCGTGCCGAGCCGGGCCCGAGTGTACACCGAGGTCAACACTCACCGGCCAAGGGAGTACTGGGACTATGAGTCCCATGTGGTGGAATGGGGGTAATAACCTTGCAGACATTAAACAACTTTTGCAGTATGCGGCTCGACAACTCTTCAATCCAGCTAATGTTTTTTTGTTTTTTTTCCTTCACAGGAATCAGGATGACTTTCAATTGGTGCGTAAGCTCGGACGTGGCAAGTACAGCGAAGTCTTTGAAGCAATCAACATCACCAACAATGAGAAGGTGGTGGTGAAGATACTCAAGGTAAATCCTTACAGGAAGAAGCTCTGATTTATGATCACATGCTTTAATTCAATCTGCCTAACTCTGCCTCCCCTTTTCCCTTTTAGCCTGTGAAGAAAAAGAAAATCAAGCGTGAGATCAAGATTTTGGAGAACCTACGTGGAGGTCCTAACATCATCTCCCTCATTGATATTGTGAAAGACCCTGTAGTAAGTAACGCTTCACACTTTGGTCATAACTGCAGCAAAGGCCATATTTAATTGATATGTTTGTTTTCAACAAACTTATGTTGTGTATGTTGGGGGTTCTGAAATATCGTCACTGTACCAATAGCGATGCGAGCCCGCCACCTGTGCAAGGTTAACCCTTTTGCTTGGGAAGTATGTGTCTGTAAGTACTGAGCCAGCTCTGGCTGTAAGTTAGATGAATGTGTCTAAGCTGTTTAACACCCTTTCTAGGTTGTGTCACGACTCTCCCCAAATAATGGACTGTTGGTATATTGCTTTATAAGATGCAGGAGTTCACAGGTCTTTCACACTGCAAAAATGAGACTATTGTATTCACTTTAACCTAAAACAACTATGATACGCCATCAAAATATATTAACCTCAGCACAACCAATGATAGTTTGATCATCACATACATTACAATTATCATATATTAGCCTTATGTTGATTAAGCAAAGCATGTCACCTTTAGAGGGACAACAGATTTCTTTCAAAGTTGGAGGATGCTCAAAGGTATATTATTCCTTTATAGTTAATAAGTCCCAGGAACAAAGCAGTGGAAGTCAAATAATGTAGCAACTAAAAGTGCCTTTTGTGCTTTAAAGTTTGCGTTTCATGTAGCGCAAGGATTAGTCAAATTTTAGATAGATGACAGATAAAAAACAACTGTCGCGTTTCAAAAACAACGGTCAGACCCCAGGGGATGATAACATCCTCATCCTTTACTGATGACCGACGTTTGAATGGATTATTGAAATAAAGATTAGGAGAAATGCAGAGGTGGAAATAGGAAAAGAACACCTGTGCCCCATAGCATATTGTATTCTTTACAATGAAACTGCAGTGAAACTATGGGCTAATTTATCTCCCTCAATTCATTGTGCCCAGAGTCGACACAATAACTCAATTAACAGAAAAGCAATTTACCCATTTGAGATAACAGGCATTACATTTTCCTGTTTCAGCTTCATTTTGTTTAGTACTGTAATGTATAAATGTTCTTGTAATCTTTGGGAGTAGCCTGGCGAGGATATGAAGTTGAACTTGTTGAAGACTATGCCTTTTTTCTAAATTAATTCTGGGATTTAATTGTAAAGTCAAACGACTTCCAGATTATGAAAACGTATCCACAGTAGGGTGGTCCTTAGCGCCATGTACATTTTCAAATTCATTTATTTGAAGCTCCAACCTCCGGAATTCGGTATGATAGTCAAGAAAACTCTCCTGGTGAGTTTTATTCAAATTCCAACAGCATTTACCCCTCCCTCATCAACCTTGAAGTTTAGCCTCAGTAGGGTGGTCCTTAAAATTGAACGTTGAAAAGTTTAAGCTCCAACCCTTATTCCATTAGTCAAGATGGTGAATTTTTTTCCCCTCTACAGGGCTCAACGCTAACTTTTAAAAGTGGTTGCCAGGCTGGCAACCAGGCATCAGCTTTTGGTTGCCAAAACTGAAAATACGGTTGCCATTTTTAGTCACCTTATATTTTAAATAATTAAGATACTATACAGTTATACATCAACTTAATAATGAACATGTGACACAAAATAATGTTCAAATGCTTTACAATAAGTAATTAACACAATTATTTGAAACTAAAGTGGTAGGAAACTTGTCCACCCTCAATTGCTGGTATACAAAACACCAGTAGTGCAGCTGTTGTCATGTTCTTCACAGATTCCCCAAAAAGGAATTGAGCAAGTCACTAGTTCCTTGGTAATCCATTGTCTTCCTTTCAAATGTGGGTTTTCT